GTAGACCGGTATGGACCGGTAGACCGGTATGGACCGGTAGACCGGTACGGACCGGTAGACCGGTATGGACCGGTAGACCGGTACGGACCGGTAGACCGGCCGGTCCGGTATACCGGCCGGTCCGGTCCGGTCTACCTTTCTCTAGACCCACACCGGTACCGGTCTGAAAAAAAGTGGACCGGTTCCATCTCTGTTAGGAAGCATATAAGACATAAATTATACTAGTCTTCTATGAATTATGAATGTCGCTTGCATAGCATTTCGTGGAAAAGAGCTTTTAAGTTTTTTTTATTTGAAAAAACCAACATTCATCACAATATAACCAATCATCAAAAAGTAAGATAAGTTATTTTTCATTTGATATATGAGATAATTGTGGTAGATGCAATTACTGGTTTTTCTATGGAGATTGCATCAAAATAGGGTGTGGGTGTGGGTGTGGGTGTGGGTGTCGGTGTCGGTGGGTGTGGGTGTGGGTGGGTGTGGGCGTGGGTGGGTGTGGGTGTGGGTGTGGGTGTGGGTGTGGGTGTGGGTGGGGTGTGGGTGTGAGCATCGGTGCGGGTGTGGGTGTGGGTCTTCTCTTCTCACACCCCCACAGCCACCCCCACAGCCACAGCCACAGCCACAGCCACACCCACACACCCACACCCACACCCCACACCCCACACCCCACACCCACACCCCACACCCACACCCACACCCTCGTTCTGCATAGATAAATTTCAGTGTGAAACTGTTTGAGTGTGCATGAATAAAAAAATTTTCTAATTAAAAATGCAAGCGTATCATTTTTTTTCGAAGCGGTCTTCCGTAATTTTAACTGTTGACATTTATGTCTTTATCTTATTTGATTAGTAAATGAAGACTAATGAATATGACCAGTTTAAGTTATTGAAGACCGCTTAAAAAAAAATGATACGCTTGCATTTTTAATTAGAAAATTTTTTTATTCATGCACACTCAAATAGTTTCACACTGAAATTTATCTATGCAGAACGAGCATTTTTGAGTTTGATTGGCAATCGATAGTTTGATGAGTGAATAATACTTTCAAAGAGTGATTAATCATCTTTGAAGATGTGAAATAAAAGAAAAAGTTCACTTTTGAACGAGAAGGCGGTACATTAGTCAAATGTTCTGCAATAGAGATATAGGGAAAAGAATAAATAAAAGAATAGATAAATGAAGGAATTGAGGAATGGGGAATAAGGGAACAGAGGAATAGTGGTGGAATGGGGAAGGAATATAGGAATAGCGGAACAGAGGAATAGTGGTGGAATGGGGAAGGAATATAGGAATAGCGGAACAGAGGAATAGTGGTGGAATGGGGAAGGAATATAGGAATAGTGGAATAGCGGAATGGTGGAATGAAGGAATGAAGGAACGACGACAGACCGACCGGAATATATTTTGAAACGCTCCCTTAGTTAACAATAGACAAAATATGCACATATAATGTTCATTGGAAAAATAAATATACATGACTCTAGTAGTTTATATTCATTTACAGGTTTTTTTCTTACATGAAACTGTTGTTCGATGCACGTTTTCGCTCATTCAATTTATTAGTTTTCTTTAATTTCTCTCATTTACGTTCTTTATATTTACTATTGTGAAAAAGTCAAATTTGATTTAATCAATATAATCGTTTTCGTAGGTGTTATTGTAATGAATAATGCATCTCTTTTCCCTTTTTTTTTCTTGACGGGTGTGGGGTATGGTGCGTGGCTGTGGGTGTAGGTGTGGGTAGGTATGAGTGTGGGTGTGGGTTTGGGTAACTTTTAAATCATAGGTACGCCCACATCAACACACACCCACACTCTTTTAGACAATGAAAATTGTTCATTATGCTGAGTGTTGCTTCGTTATCTCATTTTTTTAAATTTAATGACCTGAAAAAGAAGGAAAGCCACCATCTATTATTATTATCAAAAGGGATACAATCAACATCTTTTTCTTTGTCGATAGCTATAGACTATTTTGTATCAGCACTAAAGAACTGAATATGACAATAACAAATCGAAATTAAATTGAAATAATGTTATCGATCAGTAAGTGGATGTTGAAAACAAGCATTCTTAATAATGTGAAATGTCACAGCAGTCTTACGTCAAAATGTAGATTATTAAGATATTAAAATCTTTATTTCATAGGCTCTATTAATTAGAGTTTTAATTCGACATAGGACTTATTAAAAAGAAGTGAAAGAAACTAAATTCAAAAGAAAAACAGTCTAGATAGCCATTAAAATTAGCTTATTTTTTTGCTGATGGCAGTCGCTCAGTTTTTGATTGTTCAGCATCTTGTTTTGAATCAGGTGTAGTAGCATCTTTTGGTGGTAATGCAGCCCGACCAATCTTTAATGCGGTTGCTACTTGTGTAAAATATGTTCCTTGATACTCAGCTTTTTGTAATTCAAGTTGAGTTGGTTGACGTGATCCATCAGAACTAGCAAGAGTACCTATAAATATATTCGAATAAACAAAAACAAACACGCATGAAATAAACATACCGGCACCGTATGGACTACCACCATGGATTTCACTCATATTTGTTTGAAGGGGACATGAATAACCAATTGGTACCTATTTCAAAAAAGGACAGCTATAAAAACTTCATCACAAACATAGTAATAAAAAAGATCAATACTTACAAAAATCATACCATGATGAACAAAATTTGTTAATGATGTTAATGCCGTTGTTTCTTGTCTACAGACAAAAAGAAATATTGTCTTCTAATGCTAATATAAAAAACTTATTTTCCTACCCGCCAGCTTGTGTACCGGTTGAAAAGAACACACCAATTGGTTTACCAACTAATCCGCCTTTCATCCATAATCCACCGGTAGCATCCCAGAAAGCTTTAACTTGAGCTGGCATACCACCAAAACGAGTTGGCATACCCAATAAAATACCATCACAATTCGTTAATGCATCTTCTAATCCTACTGTATTTTCGCCAACTTCACCAAATGTTATTGTTGGTACACTTTTATCTTTTTCTGGTGCATGCATTTTATTTAAAACCTCTTGTGATAATGTTTCAGGTATTTGCATTAGACGAACTTCAGCACCAGCTGCTTGAACACCTTTCACAACAGATTTAGCCACTGCGAAAAAAAACGTAAAGAATGAATTTACTTTTCAATGTATTATATTTAATCTTACTTGTTGCGATATGACCGTACATTGAATAGTAAATAACATGAATTCGTGTTTTGTTAGTTGAAGCAGGTTGTGCTGCTGTTGGTCCGGATTTTGTTGCACTTGCAGCTCTAGACATGATGGAAAGTAATGCTTTACACTGACTCGATGTGTGCTTGCTTTGGCAGTAATAGCAACAAATGCAACAGTCGCCTTAATGCGTCCTTTTTTTTTTCTTTCTCCGTCTCTATCTACATATTGCTTCGTCATGCTCCCTATGCATGCAGTTGTCCTCGATTTGCTTTTATTATAGGCAACGTGTTAGAAGGACGTTGGAAAGAAAGAGAGAAAAAAGGCAATTTTGCGTGCTTTTACAAACAATTTAAATACCTCAAGTTACACAAGTTTTTTTGCACAAAATTACCGTGCAAAGAAAAATCATCTGATTTGTATACGTCGATCTCTTAGTTTTTGGTGACAAAATTAACATGTGGAAGATATGAAAAATAGTTTGATAGTCAAACAGATAGATCGTTCATTTCCAGAGGAAAACCAATGAAAATAAATATTTTCTAACTGTTGTAGTTAAACAGAAAAAAACTTGAGTTCTAAATATTAAAATTTTCACATACGATCTTTACAATAAATAAAAAATGTTTGACATAGAAGAGATCGCTTAAAAATTACATGAATAATTTCTTCTGGTCCTTTCAATTGATACTGCTCAGATTTTATATGAGATCATATTTTTAGGGTGTGGGTGTGGGTATGGGTGTGGGTGGGTGTGGGTGTGGGTGTGAGTGTGGGTGTGAGTGTGGGTGTGGGTGTGGGTGGGTGTGGTGTGTGGGTGTGGGTGTGGGTGTGGGTGGGTGTGGGTGTGGGTGTGAGTGTGGGTGTGAGCGTGGGTGTGAGTGTGGGTGTGGGTGTGGGTGGGTGTGGGTGTGGGTGGGTGTGGTGTGTGGGTGTGGGTGGGTGTGTGTGAATGAAACAAGTTCTAACATCCACATCCACAGCCACAGCCATAGCGACAGCCACAGCAACAGCCACAGCCACACAGCCACCCCCCATACCCACACCCACGCCCACGCCCACACCCACATCCACACCCACATCCACACCCACATCCACACCCACACCCACACCCACATCCACACCCACACCCACACCCACATCCACACCCACACCCACATCCACACCCACACCCACACCCACACCCACACCCACAACCACAACTACACCCCACACCCACACCCACACCCGTCTCTTCTAGAAGCTCCGAATGGACTGCGTTCAGTCTGGCTCCCAGTTCAGGGTGTGGGCTAAGCTGGACTATTCCATTTTTGCAAAAGATACTCATGCGACAAATCTTGATTTGAAAGTGTAGGTGTGAGAATGGGTGTGAGTCTGGATCGATTGAAGATCCAGACCCACACCCAACCCCAGACACTCCACTCAAATCCACACTCACCCCCACACCACCCACACCCACACCCCACAGCCACACCATCCACACCCACACCACACCACCCACACCACACCACCCACACCCACATCCTATTAATACAACAGCTGATGAAGAGTTTGTTGCAATAAATGATGAATTTTGTGGCATATAACTAGCACGATTAACTTCAACATCATGATTTATTTTTAATTCAATATTAATTTTAGCATTATATAAACCAAAATCACCAAATTCTGAAAAAAAAGTTTGTTTTTTTTAGACAAAAATATTTGATTTGAAAAAATAAAATTACCTCTTCGTTCAGATCCATATTCAGTCGAATCATTTGCTGTACCTTCTGTTAGAGTTCACGCTCGCGAAGAGCGACGAACACTGTTAAAGATATATGTATATGTTTTCTTTTCTCTGTTTATTCTTTAAGAAAACAAACGTTTATATACGTACATGAAAAACAAGGACAAAAGTAGAAAGAATAGAAAGGTTAAACAAGGTCAAAGAAAAGAATGGAAACGAAAATATAAAGAAAAGAGAATAGATAGAATCGAGGTGTATGTAATAAGAATACACCGTAACACCTTCTTTAGGAATTTGTACAGATGCAGTTAATAAAGGATTTTGTTCATTTGATGTATGTGTATCAAGAATAGGACGATGAATAGTATAATCTTGATAGATAGATAGATAGATAGATAGATAGCCAATACTGGTACACCAGTTTAGGCGATGAACAAACGGAAGTTAAAAATATAAAAAACTGAAAATTTACAGGGACAAAAGGACAAAACAAAAACATAAAACACAAAAAACACAAACAAAAACACAAAAAAGAAAGACTAAGACGATGACAAGGACATTTACACATATACAAGACAAAACATAAAACAATATAATACATATAAATAAGTAACAAACCAGAGTAACTTGAAATCATAGACTAGAAAGGCGCGCCTCTAAAAGAAGAGATTGTTGCGTCAACCATCAGTCTGTCACCTCCAGACCACAATCGGATCCGGTTTCGGTGACAGTCATCATAAAATACAACAATCTAAACTCAGATTTCGGATCTTTAAATCTGAACTCCTTGTTCAATCAGCCATGCTTTAGCACATGATTTGACATGCATTGTTGCACCTTGTGCTTTTAGTATTTTCCGGCACATACTATTTGGACATACATATTTGTTTTTATCTTTTTTTATTAATAGATCTATTATTTTTATATTTTTTGTGGTAGTATTCTTGTTTGTTGTTGATGCTGTCGTTAGTTGATGCATCTCATTTGTTTTGGTATCAGTTGATGCCTTCGTTGACTTTTTTTGTATGCATACTCGTTTATGTATGTTCATACCTCGTTTGCTTTTAAACGTTCGCCCACATAGTGAGCATGTTGTATCAACATTTATTACTGTTGTTGTACTTGGAGGAGTATTCATTTTTTTATTACAATCAAGAAGTCTTTCATCTGCCCGACGTTTTTTTGCTCTTTCTTTATGCTCATGTATGACATGTGCTGCATCCGATCGGACTGTTGTGGACTGAACTTCTTTATTAATTGCTTTACGCCACATCTCCTTATCTTGAACTTCTCGTCTCCAATTTTTTATCTCACACATTGTGAGATCTTTAGCTATTTTGTCTTTCCATCTTAATTTGACCCCGTGTGGAGGTCTTTTAGCATCAGCAAAAGACGAGAAGAGGACCTTTTTTGGCAACATTGGGTGATCTTCTTCGTTGCTCATTCGGTTGACATGACCAAACCACCTTAGTCTACTTCTCCTCAAGATCTTTTCTAAGGATGGCTGACCAGTCAACTCAAGAATTAGATCATTCCTCATTCGGTCACCACGACCCACACCTAACAACGTTCGAAGACATTTCATGTAAAATGTATTCAGCCGTTGTTCTTCGACAACTTTCAGGCACCATATTTCACTTCCATATAGCAACACAGGTAGAATACAAGCCTTAAATATTCTAACTTTTGCTTGAATAGATATACATTTCCTGTACCATACAACACGACGAAGTGAGTTAAACGCGTTGGAAGCTTTTCCTAAGCGTACTTCTATTTCCTTAGCTTGTGTTTGATCGTTAGCTATATTACATCCAAGATAATTAAAATTGTTCACAGTTTCTATATTTTGATCTCGAATGACGATATTTGATGGAGCATCATTCTCTTTTCCTTCTGTTTCATTCTTGTCTATTGTTTTCTCGAATTGCTTTAGTGACATAGTACATGTTTTTTGAATGTTCATAGTGAGGCCAAAATCATTGGTTACTCTTTCGAACACTTTTATAAAATGTTCTAAGTTTTTTGGACTGTCGCACATGACAACAATATCATCTGCATACATTAAAGTCAACAGATGTACATTATGACTACCATTTCCTCTACCAGAAAGCCAGAGATCACCAAGACGGTATGATAACGTGACACCCTGAATGTTAGCTTGTTGAATTATTTGTTTCATGATATAATCAATATATACATTGAACAATATTGGAGAGAGAATACAACCTTGTCTCACACCAGTATTCATTACAAAGCTTTCACTAACATCATCATCAATTCGAACTTGAGCAGATGTATCCTCATATAGCAGTTGTAACATTCGAACTATCTTTTGTGATAATCCATATGCTCGACACACTCGCCAAAGTGTTTTTCGATTAACAGAATCATATGCTTTCTTTAGATCAATAAAGCACATGTGCAGAGGTTGATTAAACTCTCTTGATCTTTCCATGACCATTTTTAGTATGAAGACCTGATCCATGGTGGATCTTCTAGAACGAAAACCTGCTTGTTCCTCCATCAGCTTTCTGCCAAGTGAAGCTTGAATACGATTTAGTATGATTCTGGCAAAGATTTTCCCTGCAACATCTAGTAAAGATATGCCTCGATAGTTGTCACAAATTCGTTTATCACCCTTATTCTTGTATAGTCGTATTATAATAGCTTCCGTCCATTCCTTTACCATAACCTCCTGTTCCCATACATCGCGAATAATTTCATGCAACCATTCAGCGATATAATGACCGCCCGCTTTTAGGAGTTCCGCTGGTACACCGTCTTTTCCAGGAGCTTTTTTATTTTTAATTTGTCCAATCGCCTTTACAACCTCATCAAGAGTTGGTACAGCATCCTGTCGAGAAAGTTCTTCATCATCAACTGTAGGACTTGGAATTTGTTGTAAAACTTGTTCGTTTATTGTAGTATCAACATTGTGCATTTTATCAAAATACTCTTTCCATCTATTCAATTGATCTTTACTGTTAGTTAATGTTAAGCCGTTCTTATCCTGGACTGGTATGTGCTTTATACTTTGTCCATTTCCACGCAGTCTACGAATGATTTGAAAAGCAGTTGTTGGATCATGTACTTTGACTGCGTTTTCTATGTCTATGCTTAACTCCTCCCAATATTCATGTTGCCTAGCATATACTTTGTTTTGTACTATTTTTGCCAACGTTCGGTATATGTTTCTATATTTATTCTCGTTGGTTGTGCTGCGATGTAGTTGCCAGTCTACATATGCTTTAGCTTTTTTATCAACAATTTCCTTTAGTTCTGGTGTGAACCATTCGTTTCCGCCTTTATGAATGCTTTTATTGTTTCCAAAGTAGTGTCTACCACGTTCTCGAACACTGTTAACAAAATTTGTGAACTTTTCATTCACCGATAAGGTTTTATTATCGCGCCGAATGGCTTTTCTTTCATTCTCTAATTCAATTTGGAAAGCAGAGAGTAAGCAATTATCTGTCAGTTTTGACTGATCAAGTCTTAACCGATATTTTTTCTCTGTTTTTCTACGACATTTCAAATGTAACCGAATTTTAGCACGTAATAAATGATGATCTGTTCCAATACCGCCAGTAGCACCTCTATGAGCTCGTACATCTCGTACACTAGATCGAAATTTACGATTGACTAGTATATAATCTAACATGTGCCATTGTTTTGTTTTTGGATGCATCCACGTGCCTTGATGGACTGCTTTATGTGGAAAGAATGTGTTAGTAACTATAAAGCTATTAAATAAACAGAAATCGACTAGTCGACGACCGTTTTGATTTTGTTTGTCAATAGCATGCTTACCGACAGTTCCTCCAGCTGTATTGGCCTGTTCTACTCCAACACGAGCATTAAAATCACCCATTATCATAATCATATCACTCTTATGGGTTTTATCTATTGTTGCTTGTAGAGTTTTATAGAACTCGTCACAAGTTTCAATACCATTTTTTACTCCATTCGAGGGATTTATGGGTGCATAAACAGCTATGATGGTGATTGGTACAGGTCGACATTCAATACGTACAGTTACAATTCTTGAACTCACTGCTTCCCATTGAGCACCTGAGTTCTTCCAAGCATTAGTAGCTTCAGGACCCAAACATACAGCTGCCCCGTATGCAGATTTTGATAATAATTGAGAATGTGAACCTGAATATATAAACGTATATCCATTTACTACACAAACACCCGAATCCGGTATTTTTGTTTCAGCCAGTGCCGCCACCTGAATTCGATACCGTTTTAACTGACGAACAATAAGTTCTCGTTTACTGACCCTATAACACGACCTGACATTCCATGATCCAAAAAGTGTTACCCTGGTTGTAGTAACAAGTTTGGTTTGTTCATTTTCGTTAGTCAGATATGGTTTAACGTCCTACACTCGGGTGACTAGCCCAAAAATAAGACATGGTGGCTCCTGGACCCCAGGGGACGCCCTCCCAGCACCGCAAGCAGCACTAGGCCCCCTGGGAGTACGTAAATACTCCCCAGTAGGGTTTAGTATAATCTTGACTATCGTGGGACCTAGAACAAATAGTTTTCTAATATATATTGATATCGATTTTGACTAAATCTATCTCAAAGATGGAAATAAAATCGACACTGATTCTATGTGTAGAGAGTATCGGATCTCATCCAAGTCCCAGAAAGTATAATTCTGATCAATAGCATCATACAGTCTATCAAAAAATGTTAGCTCCTTCTATTCCTGGAAAATATCGATAACCGTAATTGAAATTAAATTTTACAAACAGTAAAAATAAAGCTCTGTATCTTTGTAATAAAGATATTAATTAATATGAAAATTTTTCAAATTCTTACTTGAGATTTACTTGATCAAAGTCTTCTGTCATTGTAATGTGCGCCTAACTCGCATAAAATGAATTAAATAAATATAGAATCGAATGCATTTACCTCTCCTTGATCCTCATCAGCTGTGGAACAAGGAATAATATCTTTATTTTGTTTGTCACGCATCTAAAAGAGTTTATCATTTATTTATACATATTAAAAAAGAATAACGAACGTTTTTTTCAAGTGTTGCAATTGTTTTTTTCATTTCATCATTTTCTTTTTGACATTGTTCAAGACGTTGTTGTAAATCTTCAGCCATTTTCTCTATAAAATTGAAAAATCGAATGAATGAAATTCATCAAAAAGAATATATATACTTAATTCATTATAATTTTGTTCAGTTTTATGTGGAAGTAGATTTCCTTCAACTATGACAATACAATTAAAATTGTAAAACAAAAAGAAAGACAAAATCTTACTATCTTTTAAACAAAAATCGATAAAACAATTATTCACGTCTAATTGAAATAAACCATATTCATTTCTACTAATATGTAATTTAAAAAGATCATTTATTCGTCCAATTCGATGTACATAATAAGCCACTGATGTTACACTGTAAGACAAATCATGACGAAAAGCAAATATCATCAGTAAGGGTGTGGGTGTGAGTGGGTGTGGGTGTGGGTGTGGGTGTGAGTGTAAATGTGGGGTGTAGGTGTGGGGTGTGGGTGTGGGTGTGTGGGGTGAGTGGGTGTGGTTGTGGGTATGGGTGTGGGTGGGTGTGAGGGTGGGTGTGGGTGTGTGGATGTGGGCGTGGGTGTGGATGAGTCTGCGTTTGCGTCTAAGCTTCGGCGGACTTAAACACAACACCCACACACCACACCCCACACCCCACACCCACACCCACACCCACACCCACACCACCCAATTGGTGATTAATCTGAATAGAAAACATTTTCATAAGAATTATATTCGTAAAATATTACATTAAGTGTTAATCGATAACTATTCTCATATTCACTAAATGTATGCATTGTTGTTAATAATATCACGCCTTTTTGGTAACTGACGACCAACATATTAAAATTACGATTGCTAAATTGCAAAACCCCTTCCTAAAACTAAAATATATAAAATAAAAGGCAAAAAGAAAAATCCTACTGATCCTTCAATAGCATCCTGAACAGTAAAACCCTGTTTCATTAAACAATAATGTGTCGTAATAATAAATTTATCTAATTCATCTTTCATTTTTTTTATAAAGCACAAAAAGTGATGATAAAATAATTGTGTCTCCCGACATAAAGGGCATTGATTTTAAATCTTAAAAAAAAGAAATTTATATACAAAAATGAAATAGAAATTATTATTATGATCAAAAAGAAACATATATGTTAATTTTAAATGTTTCTTGTAAACAAATATTTTTATGAAGATCGAATTCATTAAATTTAGCAAATTGTACTGGTGATAATTTAACAACAAAACGAACGGTTGTATCAGTATGATATTCTAATCAAGAAAAAAGAAAAGAATAAAATTATTTTTTTGCAAATTGATATTTATCTTTATAATTAAGAGTGATTGGTGCGATATCATTTCGTTTTGGATGAAGCATTGTTTCAAGAACAGATTCTTTATATTGTTATGTCCATGTACCAATTGGTAAATCAGTTATTTCAATAGATGTTTCATCAAGTTTAGACCAAACACCATTAATAACACCACACGTACGATCATTATCTAATAATTTTATTTCAACAGTAAAATTTTTATAACATGGAATTAATTCTTCTAATGTAATTACATCTGGATACTGTTTTGGTTGACTTGTTGGATTATTTAATTGTCGTTGTCGTTCATCTTCTTGTCGAATATAATATTTCATATTATTACTTAATGTTAATGGATTATAAGATGGTATATCAGTTGAATAATCAGTTCCAACACCTTGTGCACCATTAACAAGAACAGTTGGAATAACTGGACAATACCATTCAAGTTGAATACTGATACGATCTTCATTTAAATATGATAATAATGGTTCATCATTTTTATTAAATGATAATAAAGCAAGAGGACTAAGTCGAGTAAATATATAACGTGCTGAAGCTGCATCATTACCACCATGTAAAAGTCTACCAAATTGACCAGCTGGTACAAGAAAATTAATATTATTTGAACCAACAAAATTTTGTGCAAGACCAATAGTTGTATTTGTTAATGATTGTTCACCATGATGATAAGCAGAATTTTTCGCAACTTTACCAGCTAATTGTGCAACTTTTATTTCACGTATTAAATTTTTTGTAAAACAAACAAAGATTATTTTACGTTGGCCAGGTTTAAGGCCATCCTTTAAAAATAAGAATTTAAAGGAAAAAGAAGATATTTTTATTTCTTATTAATTTATCATAATACTTGGAATTGCATGTTCAGTACTTGATTTGGAAAAAAGAACAAGTTCTTTATTGATAAAATCATTAAAATTAATTTGTTTTGTATCTTTTTTCTATAAATAATCATCTGGTAAATTTTGTCCACGTCGTTGATTAACATCTTCTGTATGCCATTTAATCCAATCTTTACGATCATCACTTAATGCACTAGTAAATGCTAATTGTATAGCTAAATCATCTTTTATTGAATCATATTTAAATATAATATGATGACGATTCATATTAGAAAAATATTCTTTTACTTGAGGGTGGGTGTGGGTCATATATTTATTCACACAAATACTCATACCCACACTCTCACACTCCACTCACACCTCCACACCCACACCCTCACACCCCATTCATACCTCCACACCGCACCCACCCCACGCACCCACACCCACATCCACACACCCACACACCCCACACCCACACCCACCCACACCCACCCTCAAGTGCAGTTTACACACACCCCTATTGTGTTATATATATATAAAGACAGAACAGAAAAAAAATTTATTGGATAAATTGTACACCACTATTGAACGATAACGCATCTCATCGTCTTGGTTCCGATTTTGGACCAGGATTTTATGTGACAGACAATTTTGATGGTAAGTTTTTTGAATTTATTAAATATATATGATGGGTTCTTGCTAACTTTTTAGATACTCTGCACAGAGCAATGAGCAAATCAGCACTAAGTAAAACATGTGGTGGTGTTATTTGTTTTCAAATTCGAGATATTGAGTATCATCAGTTTAATGTACAAGAGCTAAATGAAACAGCAGAAGAATCTAGTAATCCTCTCGAATGGAGTAACTTTGTGAAATTATGTCGTCGTCGATTTGCAGAATATCCACATATGTTTCGACGAGATGCTTTTTGCGGTTCTGTTTGTAAGAATGCTGAAAAAGTTTATCGAACAGAAAATGAACGACCACAAGTAAAAATGCTTGAAAATAGAAAACCCAAACAGATATATATCAAAAGTACAACTATGGCATCAAAACTTGAAGGTTCAATCTTTGGTGTTTATGTTATTGGTATATCATAATAATGATACTTTTGTTTTTTTTGTTTCTATTTTTTCTTCTCTATTGATATTGTTGATTTTTTTCCTTGCTATTCAACTTGATCAGATATTATTTTTCTTTTTTCATCAACTTACTTGTGAAAAACATCATTATTTCAATAAATTTATATCTATATGTTAATTTTTATTTGCAGAGATAAATCAGTCTATGGAACAGTCGAATAAACAATTAATAACATGAAATAGATAGATTTTATTCTTTCTTCCTTTTGCTTTTTTCAATTGTTTCATTCTTGCTATAAAAAAAATAAGTGTATACAGGCATTATAACAATTTAAGGATAAAACATATACAAACAACATAAAGTTTAGATCTTTCTTTCTCTTGTTATACAATTGTTAGAATAGGAACTATTCTTACAATAAACTGGTTACCTCTTTGTATAATCTTCATAGATAAATGTAGTTATATTCAATTTCTTTTTAATATCAACTCAATTTATAGAAAAAAAGAAAGAAGAGAAATGTAAACAATATTTTATTAATTATGTTTATAAACTCGAATTCAATAACAGCAAAAATCTCATTTATTTTCGTAAATATAGAAGAATACACTAATATTGAATCTATGTCAATTAACTAAAGATGAGAGAGTGAAAAAGACGAAATTCTTTTTTATTTGCATACTATATCTATATTAAAGTTTAATATCTTTATATGATTTGTTAAATACATCTCAATACTTATCGTTTCAAGTCAGATTTTAAACTATTTTTAGATTTTCAATCTAATTAATAATTTAAATTCATTATCAAGAAAGAAAGAAATACGATGAGATATGACATATTCAAGATCAATATTCTCTTATGGATATTTGTTTTCTTTTCATTAATATTATATATTCTAATTTATTTTAATCTTTCTGAGATTTTTTTTTCTTAGAAATTATTTACTCTATTAAAAAAACGACCTTGTTCTGACATTGATATATGAATTGGTTTTTTTAAAGATTTCTTCGATGAAAATGCTGAAAAAATTTTTTTAAATATTACCTACACTCTAAAAAAATAAGGTAATGTTACCGAACCCTCCAAAAAGGTTTCGTAGATGTCCAAAAGCCTCCAAATGCGCCGACAGTTTTAAAACACGATTGTTAAAATCTACGAAACCTTAAAAGGATCTGACTGCGGGCACACGGTCCGAACCGTCTGCCACGAAACCTTTTTTAAGTTCCGTACAGCGAAAAAAGGTTTTGTATTTTCTTACGAAACCTTTATAGTTTCCTACTAAACCTGTTGGTTTCGTATAAAACCATAGTGCGAAACTAGAAGTGTCCGTAGGAAACTATACGGGTTTCGTAATAAAATACAAAACCTTTTTTCGCTGTACGGAACTTAAAAAAGATTTCGTAGCAGATAGTTCGAACCGTGTGCCCGCGGTCAGATCCTTTTAAGGTTTCGTAGTTTTTAGCAATCGTGTTTTTAAACCTTTCAGCGCATTTGGAAGCTTTTAGACATCTCCGAAACCTTTTTGGAGTGTTCGATAAGATTACCTTATTTTTTTAGAGTGTACGCAATATCGATGTAAATGATAATAACAAATATATAAGTGGGTGGATTTTTGTCGTGTTGATAAAAGTAAAAATAAAAGATCTACAAATTAGACGAGCGTACCACGACCGGTTTCGTCCTTGCTCAAGGGACTCCTCAGGTAGCTTAAGACATCTTAAGGGTGTGGGTGGGTGTATGGGTGTGGGTGGATGTGGGTGGGTGTGAGGGTGTGGGGTGTGGGTGTGGGTGTGGGGTGTGGGTGTGGGTGGGTGTGGCTGTGGGGGTTCTTCTGTCTTTCCTCCACCCACACCCACACCCACACCCTCACCCTTTGTAGAAAACGTTTTTGTTATGTATTTGTTATATAAATTTATATAAATTAAAAAAATAGAATGATTCAGGCAAGCATTGATAATATTGCTCTTCTCTAGTTGAACACAAACATCAAACATGTAATGGGATGCTGGCTTATTTTTGCTTTTGAATTAAGAAAGAATGATTCATGTCTTCTATATCTCCATCAGTGTTAACTGAAACGCTATAAGAGATTCTTCTCATTGTTTTTCAGTTACATGAAACATATATGATTCTCTTTCACACGCATACAAACAAAGAATAGCTATCA